TGACGAGAAGGCACTGATGCTGCTGCACTGATATGCGGCACTGATGGGCACTGATGAGCACTAATAGGTAGTACTGAAGGGCACTGACTGGCAGCACTGATGGCACTGGCTGGCGGCACTGACTGGCAGCACTGATGGGCACAGATTGCAGCACTGATGGGCAGCACTGTTGAGCACTGATGGGCAGCACTGTTGGGCAACACTGCTGGGCACTGAAAAGCAGCACTGCTGGGCACTGATGGACACTTTTGAGGCTGCATTGATCATCAGGACACTGATAATCAGTGCCCTGATAATCAGTGCAGGTGTCTCCTTTGCCAGTTGCCGGTTATCAGCAGTATTTTCCTCACGCTGTGACAGCGTGAGAAAAGTACTGCCGATAACAGTCAAGCATATTTTAAAGGTGGTCAGCTGTGATTGGACACAGCTGAATACGTGGTAAAAGGCTGCTGTGATTGGCCTTTTACCATGTCATGTGATCAGTTGTGTCCAAAGGATAGCAATCACAGACAGCGCCAGGTGTGCACTGCTGGGGGCGTGCAGGGGGCACGTTCTAGGAGGACATCATATGATGACCTCCCAGAACTGGACAACCACGCTGTAGCCATCATTCGGCTATAGTGCAGTTAGGGAAGTGGTTAAGCATAGTTTCCAGTACTTTATTGATTATTTTCAGCACAAACACCATATCAATTAATGGAAAAAAAGAAAGTGATGTAAGCTTAGAGTAGTTTTTATCTTGGTGTAGATGGCAAAAAAAGATTTGAGCTCTCCTGTATTCTATCTAAAATGGAAAAAAAAATGTTTTGGCTTTAGATCTACTATAACGCTCAATTCACAAAACTAACACACCAGGATAAGTACTCTTACTTAAATAAAAGTGACAATTATTTTTAGTTATGTGTAATGATTTTTGAAAATGACAATCATGTGGCTGAGAACAGAGTAGCTTAGGCTGGTTTTAAAGCTTTGTGAGCTGATTCTTTTTTGTGTGTTATTGCATCATTTTTGCCTTCGAGACACTCGGAGAAAAAGAAAAGTAGAGGTAATTTCATAACAAATTAGATTTTTTTTTTTTTACATCAAGACTAGCAAAAAGACAGCAAGAACTGGGTTGGTATGGACAACAACAGAATTTCCTTTCCCCTATTTGTTTTACATGGTCTGCTTTCCCTCCAGTGAATTAAAGCTGCTGGCAAACTGTGATCTTCACTTTATTCATTGACCTTGGGATACCAACTCTTCTTTATTGAAAGATTTGTACGCACTTTGTATGTATTAAATAATATGCCATATGTTATAGTAGAAAACCTAGCATTGTGTTTAATGATTTAATTAATATCTTTCAACAGAAACACCATATCAATTTACAGCTAAAAAAAGAAATTGAAAGAACATGATATAAGTACTTTCCGCCCTGGTTGAGCCCATGCCTTGCATTCCCAACCTTCTAAATAACATAAATACTGCGTTCCATCATTTGAGTTGCTGTGTCATTACGTTCGACTCAATTCCAAATAATGTTATAATCGCTGCAGTTAATAATAGGAAAAGGTAGGTGGTAAAAACCCTCATGTCGAGAAAATGCATACACCAAACACTAACAACGGGATTTATTCACCCACATATAAACAGGCTGGGATCTACATATTTCTGTAAATCTCCTCATTCTGTGCAATTATCGTAAGCTCTTTTTGTCTTGGTCTCTGTCACTGTGCCATCAGCAGCACCACAACTGCTGTCACTCAGTAAAAAATCATCTGACACATGGACATCTTAGTGACAGGACCCAAATCTCCACTTGTTTGCTTAGGTTCACATGCAGAGGTGTGGATGTGTAATTACCTGACATAGAATTCAAGCCTGCTTATTTCTTTCCCTGCCCCCCCCCCCCCCTTCTTTGTGCCTCTCTAACTGTTCACATCCTTCAGCCTAATCAGTAGCACAAAACCCTGCAGCATTGTGCGAAAAAATAGACTCCCCCCTCCCATGACAACAGAAGGGTTAACTCCTTCCACGCAGAACAAAGTAGTTAAAAATGCCTTCTTAGAATGGCTGACACAGCCTTGAGAAATCCCATTGGGGCAATTAATTAAAAAATGCAGTTTTAGCACAATTCTTCTATTTAGAAGGATGGTATACTCTAGAAAACTGCAACGTCTGAATGAAAAGACGTGTTGTGGATCTTCAATTTGTTCTGTGATAACATTTCCTCTAATATGCCCATAAAATAATCTGATAATAGCAGCATTTTCCTCGATTTCATACACATCCATTGTTCTTCCTAAAATAACCAATTACCAATCCATCTAAAGGAGCTGCAACTATTTTCAAAAGGTTACAGCGGGACACACAAGGCTATTTAATCTTAAGATCATAAAGTGGGATTGTTTCCTTGTTAGTAAACATGGGGTTAGCGGTGTGGCCATGAGACCATTCTGATCTTGTACATAGTTCAATTTGCTGCCCAGTTAACAACTTTGCTTTAATAGGGCAAAGCCTTCAAGAATGATTTGTCTAGCTGTGGATCATTACCACATGGTTAACCTGCCGTCAATTCACAAATATGGGATCATATAAACAATTAGTTCACTTCAGTTAGCAAGAACCCATTGGTTACAAGAGACTTGGAGAGGCAGTATGGAATATTTCCATAGACATGCGTGATTTCGAGCATGAGTCGACATAAATAGAAGCAGGGGTGTATTTACCACAAGGCAAACAAGGCATTTGCCTAGGGCGGCATTTTTCAGGAGGGGCAGCATGTCCCTCAGAAAAAAGGACATGGGGACCTGGTGGGTTCCAAGAGAGGCTGCAGGTTTCATGATGGTATATGCACAGCTCGACTCTTGTTCCCAGGGATGTCTGGAGCTGTGAAGGCGAGTGTCTTTCTCTGTCATGTGGTGGCAGATGGTGGCTGTTGTATGGCGGGCAGTGGTAGTGGAAGGCTCTCTCGGGTAGGGGGGCAGGGGTGTTGTTGGTCAATGTCAGGCTCTCTTTGCAGGGGGAGGGGGGCACTGATTTTTGTGTTGCCTAGGGCAGCACAAAACCTAAATACACCACTGAGTAGAAGCATGTATACTCAATTTTATTTTTTCCTTTTTAGGTATTGTATAGTGGTTTTTTATATACATTTTCCTTCTTTTTCTATATACATCTTATTTCTAGCTTTCTTAAAATAAAAATACATATATATAAAATATTTGTTTAGTTGGGTAAATATGAAATCCTCCCAATTTTTCAAGCTCTAGGTAAAACATGTTTTCCAGCTTATCCTGCTAAAGAAGCCTGCCATTTACAGAGCTCAATAGCTCAAGGTGCAATTTGCACACACAATAAAAATATATCTATATATTTTATAGATACAATGTTGCTCCTGAATTCATAAGTACTTGTTAAAAGAGAAGTATGACCAAACCTCTTTTTTGGCAATACTTCTTTTCTAGGTCATAGGAGCGCACTTACTGTGTATAGGTGTACTCCTGTGACTCAGATTCAGCCAACAGAGAGCCAAAGCATGCTTTGTGCTGATGTCGCAGAGATGGTTCAGGCTTTGGAGGGATCCTGACTTTAAGGTCAGGATCCACCCAAATACCTGTAAGCAGCTGGCTCAACCTCTCAGGGCGCCACCTCCTCCCCAGCCCAGCACTCCAGTGAGTGCTAGAGTGGCAGAGCAGAGAGCAGTGACTGACAGTCACTGCTCTCTCCTCAGAGTGAACCAAGACTAGCATGATCAGAGATCATGTGCTCAGAGTTCTTGCTGTTACACAGCTCTTGCTGTGTCCAGTGAACCTGTGCTATAGACATGCAGGTGAGTATGTATGTTTGTTTGTTTGGCTTTTTTTGCTATCCCACACTTCTCCATACAGAAATTAATTCCCTGCCTTCTATATAGCAGAGACAGTCTGAAGGATAGACGCTTCTGCTTTGCAATGTCTTTTGAAAATCTATAATTGAACTGTTAAAACCACCATATCTGCAGCCTTATTTGAGGTGTGAGGTTCTTCTTCCTCTCTACCATACACCCAGACATCCCTTCCCCCTATCCTTATTGCACCTCCAATTACCCTTAGTGGTGTATTTAGGTTTCGTGCTGCCCTAGGCAACACAAAAATTGGCTCCCCCCCCCCCACGGAGAGACCCTGACACTGACAAACACCAAATCCCCCACGAAAAGAGCCTGACATTGACCAACAACACCCCACCCGAGAGAGCCTTCCACTTCCACCGCCCCCCATACACTGGCAATCCCCCACCCCACCCTGGCAAGAGAGAAGACACTCACCTTCACAGCTCTGCACATCCCCAGGAACAAGAGTCACGCTTTTTATACACCATCAAGCAGCCCATCTCAGATCCCACCTGGTCCCCATGCTGCGTGTCCTTTATTCCATCCCTTCTTTCAGGGGATGACGCTGCCCCCCCCTGAAAAATGCCACTCTAGGCAAATGCCTTGTTTGCCTTGTGGTAAATACACCCCTGCTTCCCCTTGCTTTCCTTCCACTATCTATCATCAAAAGCCACATTCTCTCCATTCCCCACAATCTTCTTTAGTCCCCCTCTACTTTCTACCTTACCGTATATGTTAGTCTTCAAAGGATTAGTCCCAAAAACATTGTGGACTGTCCATTTTGTACTGCAAAATTAAAAAAAAATACAAATGTATTGAAACATTTTATATTAGTAAAAAAAAAAGATGAACAACATCAGTTTAAAAACCTAAAAAATGTTCCTAAAATAAAACTGACTCAAAACTGTTAAAGTTTACTTTTTAACCGAAAACCAAAAAGAAAGTGAGTTTTTGTACACAATTACTTACACAAAAGTACGTAAAACCACTCATGCTAGACAGAATGAGACACTACTGTATGTAAATGTGCTCCACAGCCTATTGTCCTGTTAGCAGCTATTTTAGGCTGAAGGAGACTTTCAAGTGACAGTTGGCAGTATTCTTCCGTAGCGGGAATGTCAAACCGGTGTCTTTTGGGTCACCTTATTACTTCTTCTTAGTGTCTGGCTTTTTAGAATTTTATTTTATTTAATTGAGTGAGACCTAAATCTGTCTTATAGGTCATTAACAGAATTCTTGTATTCGTTATTTTACAGCTAGGTGAGTAAAGCTAGTGTTATAATTTTGAAAATGCAATATTTTAATATGCAAAGTCACCTGTTAAATATTTAAAATGGTTTAGAAGACTTGCATTTAGAACTGTAGAGGAGTTTTTTTTCAGTTGGGTAATAGAGTTAATGAAATTTCATACTACACAGTTTGACGCTTTTGTTTCATTTTTAGTTTGGTGTGCCTGTTCTATTACTGGAAGTCATTATATGAGGAAGAATATCATCCACCGTCATTACCACTCATATACATTCACATTTAATAATGCTTGAAACTTTATCATGTTTATTTGTACATGCTACTAAAAGCTCTTTTACATTAAAAAAGTAACACATTAAATAACACACTTATCTTTGCTGGCATTTTGGTAGGATGTTTGCTTTGGTTTACAGTTTCCATTTGTGACTTACTATAATTATCAAGGTACATATATGTCAATAGTAACACAAAATATGGTGTTTGCTATTGATCCAAACCTATTTTTTCCTATTATAAAGTTTTAAAATAAGGACTTCTGGAATGAGATTGGTTGTAACAGCTTTACTAGAGATGAGCCAATTGTACCTGGGTTTGGTTCAAGGCAGGTTCGTCAAACATAACTAAAGTTTGGGTGCCAAATCCAAATGCCACTGAAGTCAATAGGAGCTAAATGTTTAAAAAAAACAGTAGCAGCCATTTTCAAACCAACAACATGGCGAGGAGTGCCTTCAACTTGCCTGTCAAGTGGCGATGTAAACAATCTAATACAACAAATTTTACATTTACAAATAAAAACAATGCCATCTAAATTGCTTGAGCTACTTGCTTCTATTTCTAAAGACAAACAGTATGGACAGGGATGTTTTCTGAAAGCAGTGGACCTGTGTGCAAAATCATAGGTTGAGCCCTTCTGCCCAAGAAAAAAAAAGTGCAGCAAAAATTGGGTGTGGCTTTCATTGCACTGAATATTGGCCATAGTTTAAAGTGTTGCTTAACCTACACCAGTAAAATTGGTCTGTATATGCAGTAAAGCATGCTTGTTATACTCACTGTGGAACCTAAGGGGTTAATCCTCTGCATTGTGTAAAAAGGCTGTTTAAACCTGACTTCTCTGATCCTCCCCTTCTTCCAGTGTTCCCCTCTTAGCTCTTCATAAGACTTATCGTGTGGAGTCACTCTACACATGCTCAGTTTGGTGTGTATTGCTAGAGAAATTTTTTTTTTCTTGGGAGGGTGCATGTGATCAGCACAGGGCCGATTAGCACTGTCCAGACAGAGGTCAGGGGTTCTGCATGCTCCTAGAGAAATATTAACACTCCTCCTACAAAATTTAACCAGTGCTTTGCTTGACACTGATATAAGTCACAAGACTGCTCTAACTGCTGATGAGGAAAGGTATTTAGCAGTTTATATTTACTAAAATAATTGCACTTCCATGTTCTGTGTACTGTAGGAGACCAGATATAGTGAATGCAGGGTCCTGGGTTTAGTAACACTTTAAAGGGAAGCATAGTGCAGGGGTTCAGTAGCAAGTGATGCAGAATTCAGAGATCAGTAGTAAGTGGTGCAAAGTGCAAAGGTCAGTAGTAAGTAAGGCAGAGTTCAAAGGTCAGGAGTAAATGGTGCAGAGTTCAGAGATCAGTAGTAAGTGGCACAGGGTTCAGAGATCAGCAGTAAATGAAGCAGAGTTCAGAGATCGGTAGTGGCACAAAGTTCAGAGATCCATAGTAAGTGAATCAGAGTTCAGAGATCAGTAGAGACACAGAGTTCAGAGATCAGTAGAGACGCAGAGTTCAGAGATCAGTAGAGACGCAGAGTTCAGAGATCAGTAGAGACACAGAGTTCAGAGATCAGTAGAGACGCAGAGTTCAGAGATCAGTAGAGACGCAGAGTTCAGAGATCAGTAGAGACACAGAGTTCAGAGATCAGTAGTCAGTGAAGCTGAGTTCAGAGATCAGTAGTAAGTGAAGCAGAGTTCAGAGATCAGTAATGGCACAGGGTTCAGAGATCAGTAGTAAGTGGCACAGGGTTCAGAGATTAGTAGCAATCAGTGAATCAGAGTTCAGAGATCAGTAGTGGCACAAAGTTCAGAGATCCGTAGTAAGTGAATCAGAGTTCAGAGATCAGTAGTGACACAGGGTTTAGAGATCAGTAGTAAGTGAAGCAGAGTTCAGAGATCAAAAGTGACACAAAGTTCAGAGATCAGTAGTGATACAGAGTTCAGAGATCAATAGTAAGTGAAGCAGAATTCAGAGATCAGTAGTGACACAAAGATCAGAGATCAGTAGTAAGTGAAGCAGAATTCAGAGATCAGTAGTGACACAAAGATCAGAGATCAGTAGTAAGTGAAGCAGAGTTCAGAGATCAGTTGTGACACAAAGATCAGAGCTCAGTAGTAAGTAAAGCATAGTTCAGAGATCAGTAGTGAAACAGGGTTCAGAGATCAGTAGTAAGTGGAGAAGAGTTCAGAGACTGGTAGTAAGTGAAGCAGAGTTCAGGAGCCAAGAGTAAATGACACAGAGTTCAGGGGTCCAAAGTAAGTGACGCAAAAACACTAACTGCTCTAACTGCTGATGAGGAAAGGTATTTAGCAGTTTATATTTACTAAAATAATTGCACTTCCATGTTGTGTGTACTGTGGGAGACCAGATAGAGTGAATGCAGGGTCCTGGGTCTCAGAGGTCAGAAGTAAGTGACCCTCTATCCCACAATATAGCCCTCTCCTGCACAGCTTACCTGTAGCAGTAGATTTTTGTATTTGGTGAAATGCTGGACCCCTGCGCATGTGCCGATTTGCCTTGGTAAGGAGTTGAGCGCGTTGAGTGGGCCGCACATACAAATCAATATTACAAATATGGCACTTTTATTTCTAGGTCCAAAAGTTACAATTTTTGTAAAAGCTAAAGGATTTTACCTTAATGCATTCTCTGCATTAACCTCCCTGGCAGTATTCCTGAGTGTAGCTCGGGGTAAAGTTTCAGTACCACAAGCGGTAACCCCGAGCTACACTCAGGCTTACCATGCGGCGCTGCTCCACGATCCCTCGATCACTTACCGTGTCCTGTGCTCCCGCGATGTCCTCCCTGCAGTGTCCCCGGCAATGTAATCCGGCGGATGCCGGCATCTGTAATCTGGGTTCTGTCCCCTGCGAGCTTCGGGATGTAGGGGAACGGAACGGTGGGAAATTTGAAAATGACAAAAAGTGACATTCACTAAAATCACATAGTAAAACATTACTGTATCAAACCATTTCACATACATTTTGTCCCTAGTGCTTTGTCCTGTGCCCTGCCTACATTTTTACTGTTCTTTCTGCCTGGAAACTGAGAAATGTCCATGGCGTCCAAAAAGGGTCCCTTTAGGTCAAAAGCGATTTTAGACCAGCTAGAGAACAGCGATAGTAAATTAGAACCACTTGCAGAATTGAGTGATAATGATTCGTGGGGAAATTCGTCATCAGACACTGAAAACGATTTTGCGACTTTGCTCAGTGATGTGCGAACTTGGCGCTATATTTCAAATTTCAGTGTTTTTGGTTTGATTATATTCTTGAATTAAATGCATTATTATTATATTATTATTTTTTATGATTATTTATTAAATTATATCTATGATTTCGTGTTTCAAATTTTATCATACCCGGGATGTTTACTAGACTCTTGTTCGGACAGATTTCAGTGAGTTATTCCTAAAAATTACAAGCCTACAATAAAAAAAATACATATTTCCATGCAAAAAAATGTACCGCTTGGAGCACAGAAATATGGACATAATCAGACCGCTAGGGAGGTTAAGTCACAACCCCCCGACCCCTCCTAAATACTCACCCTGATCTTGATCCAGCGCTGTACCCAAGAGAGATCCAGCGCTCTCCCCACAAGACTCAGTGAGAGCAGCAGGAGTCATTGGCTCAAATCTTGTGATGAAAGAGTGAAGGTCGGGCAGAGCTCACACATGTGCCAACATTGGAAGTGGCTTCCTATGATGGTACACGGAGTAGAGGAGGAGCTCAGAGCACCGGTAGGGGTTCCCAGAAGAGGAAGATCTGTAGAGTTGTTCTGTAGAAAACCATTGCACAGAGCAGGTAAGTATAGCATATAACTATCACTTTAATTCTCATCAAAAAGAACAATTTGAAGAGGGTAGGAACACCCGATAAAGACCAATAAAGTTAAATGTTAATAAAGTGTATATGTTATATTTCAATGGTCACAGCAGCCTCATCCTCCTTTTCTCCATTCTTTATATTTCAACATTATTGGTAGAATGTTGGGGGGTTTGTTGAGCCTAAATCAGGCTTTTTTGTATTTGGGTTACATAACAATTAACCCCATGCCTGTTGGAGAAGGATCCAAATGAAAGCTGAACCCCACAGCTGCCAGTCATCTATAATATGTAACCAGCAAGTACCCACTCTCTATTTGACAGTTGTCATCGTACAGGTAGAGGAAGGGATGTTTCATTTGATCCTCTCCCCCTACTGCTCCACTGGTGCCTGATCTCCTTCACATCAAAACATGAATCTTTCCTGCACTGGGGGAGTGTTAAGGGAAGAGGATTGGGTGAAATATCCCTTCCTCTGCCTGTGAGATGACAGCTGTCAAGTAGCCAGATGGCATTTCGGTAGTTACATAGTATTGATGCCCAGCAGCTGTTGGGTTCATCTCCCACTCCCTATCCATCAGGTGTGGGGTTAATTGTTGTGTGTGGGCTCCTTGGTTCGTTCCCCAGATAGAGAATTGATGTCACTCCACGTTGTGTCAAGGGCACAGTACACATTGCACTCATGGATAATATGCCACTGTGTCTGAAGATTCCCTTCATCTATTCCAGACTTCCAGATGTTATTGGGGAAACTCCACAAAATAAAACAGCATAGTCCCCCCCCCCTCCCAAATCTATACCAGACCTTAAGGGTCTGGTATGAATTTGACAGGGACACCCT